TATAATCCGAATCTACAAATACGGGTGGCCGGGTATAGGGGATTAACTTGTTAGTGTCATAGTAGAGGCAAAACAGGAGAGGGGAGGTAGGGTGGGTGTGTGTGTGGGCAGATTATGATAGTATAACAGGTGGAGGTATTACCGTGTGTGATGGTATAACATCTTTCAAACGCCTTGCGCATTACACACAATCACACAACACTATGGGGGGGGGGGGGGGGGCTGGAGGGTGTTAGAGGCTGTTATCTATAATCCACACGACTGCATTCCAGGGTGGAAAAGGAGTTATATCCGGCACCATCATTAGAAGGCTAGCACAAGAAAGGGTTGTGAGTAGGGTTTAAGCAAGGGTCCTCCAAACCAAAATCCCCCACATGATAACCTTAGTCACATGTCGTTTGCATCTCATTCCCAATGTCCTAAGTGCATTTCGTTAAATCTTAGAGAGTGGAGGAGGGATGAGAGGTGAGAAGGGAGGGAAGAGTGGGCCTGTTGAATGAGAGGTGCATGGTAGATGAGGAGGAAAGCTAAGAGGAGATTGGAGGAGAAACGTGTGAATTATTAACAGTGAATGGAGCGATGGAGCAGATAAGAATCATTCTCACATCATACTCCTCACTCCTCACTCCCTCCTCCTTGACAGGAAGTGACCGTGAGGCTGTGGCCAATGCTCACTATGCTTGGCTTGCTTCAAGTGTTTTGATGCATGGTCGTGATATATTAGGACGCAAGAGCACACAACTTCCTTCTCTTCCTTTACTTACTATCAACTATCTGGGAGCATTTACTGTGGTAAACTTGAAGGGGGGGCGAGGATTTCTCCTAGACCACTTTTATTCCTGAAAACAGAGTTACAAACCATTGAGGATTCACTCACACAAGAGCACCATGATATACCTGAAAACACCATCATCATCCGAAGGGGGGGGGGGGGCAGGTGAAATTGAAGGCCCAACCTGCTTGTGCTTGGGGGGTTGAAACTGGAAATGAAGGCGCTCTGTGGGCAGTGCTACTCTGATGTTAAACTAATAAAGTAAATATGGGCACTTTATCTAGCCGTACTTCACCTTTTTTAAACTCCTCCAAGCATTGCGTCCAGCTTGGATGTCATTGAACACAAAATGCAACGAGTGGCTGTAATAACTTGTGATGGATTTTGAGCGGGGTGAAATCAATACCGGGTCCAACGTCCACGAACGCCAGGTCCTTGACAAACAGCAGATCCACTATGTTGGACCTCTCGCCCTCGTAGACCGGGATGCGCGTGTAGCCGCTCTTCATGATCTCGGACATGGTGTTAAAGTCGAGGGTGGCATCCCCGGGGATCATGAAGCAATCTCTCAGGGGGGTCATCACGTCCTCCACGGTCTTAGTCCTGAGCTCCAGCGCGCCCTGGATGATGTTCAGCTCCTCCTTCACCAGGTCGTTGTAGGGGTCCGTGACGCGCAGCATCTCCAGAAGCTTCTCCCGGTTGTACACGGTCCCGATCTCCTGGCCCAGAAGGTAGTCCAGCAGCTTGCTCACCGGGTAGGAAGCGGGGAAGGTGAGCAGCATGAAGAACTTGGTGAGGAATATGGTGTTGGCGCCCACAGCGAGGCCGTGTCTGGAGCAGATGGCTTGGGGCACGATTTCTCCAAAAATCACTATTCCAATGGTGGACATGACCACCGCGATCAACCCCGAGCCGGCGATGTCATCCAGCAGGATGGTCAGCGTGGTGTTCACCAACACGTTCCCGAGCAGAAGCGAGCAAAGCAAGTAATTCCCTTGGCTCCTCACCGGCTCGATTTTTTTGGCATAATTCTTCTCCTTCTCCGTGCCGCAGTTCTGGACTATCTGGAGCTCCATGGGGTCCAGAGCCATGAGCCCCAGGTTCAAGCCGCTGAACATGCCCGACAGGCAGAGCAACATGGAGATGAAGATGACCTGGAGCCAGAAAGGCAGCAGAAACTTTTTCTCCTCCACCACTATCACTTTGGTGTCATCCCCATCGTGGTAGATCCAGGTGTTCTCCGTCCACGGGTCGTGCATCCCGGGCACGGCCGGCGTCGTGGTGGCGATGCAAAGGTAATACGCTTTACTCCTCTCCGTCTTTCGCAGAGGTTTGACCTCGATTTCAACTATTCCGGACGTCTTTCGATTCAGGATGATGTTGGGCAATATAATTATATCCGAAGTCCTAATACCGCAGGGATGCAAGCCGGACGAGTCCTCCTGGCTCTGGTTATCCCCCGAGGAGCTGTCAAGGCTCCCTACCGTCCGGCTCCGCTCGTGTTCCGTGAAAGCAATTTTGGACCAGGTCTCGTTGTTGATGTTCTGCCCGTACACCCTTAATTTCACCCGAGACCGCTCACTCACCCGCAGGTAGCCCTTATCCATGAAGGAAATGTCGTCCGTGTCCTCCAGTCGGAGCCCTATGATGACGGTCTCCTCGGACCCTTCCTTGCCACTTGTCGGGGTGACACAACAGCCAGTGACAGTTAAGAAAATCATCGCCAAAGCTCGGACCCGGTTAAGTGACGCCATTTTTGCAGCGGTGGGTGCTTGGGATAACGGCTCTGCCATATTGATAACCATTGGCAACCAACCTCCTGAATGAAAAGGGCTTTTAAAAATCAGAGCCAGTCGGAGTCCGCCTTCATCTCCACCGAGGGTTGCCGTGACTTGTGCATCGGGACCTGCTCGTTCCCACTACGTGTCCGACACTGATGACTCGCGAGCGCAGGCTTATGGGCCAACTCGTGCCTCCCCTGATGTCCCCGAGACAGGCGACGGCGGCGACCAATCAGGAGGCGCCGCTGGCCGGCGGGCGGGGCCTCCGCAGCTTCCTTGGCGAATCAAATTCCAAAACAAGTGCACCTCATGTTAAGAGACAGACAGGACTCTACTCGTGACTTTTTTAACATATATCCTACCACAGGAGACAAGACTACACAGTTACAATGTATTTGTTTAAAAAAAGAAAGACACGCAGCATCTTATCATATGTCTTGTTAAATGTATAGTGAGCAGGCAGAGGTGTTGGTTCATTTGTTTGTATTGCAGTGCATTACACTGTTTATATAAGGGCGCTTGTGGATGCACTGAATCCCCCCAGTGATCCACAACTGTAGTGTTTCTTCAACTTTTTGATCCCTTCAAATGAAGCACTAACTGTGACTTGCAGGCCAGGGCCTTAATGTGGAAGTGAGTTAAGTTCAAGCAAAGAATAACTGTATCTATCTGATATTGTATATTAGCTACAATGTATTTAAATCAATCATATATATTTTTCATAATAGTTCATGTGAAAGAAAATAACAGATGCATTCCCAGCCAGCTGCTGTTGACAGTCCATCACTGAGTTACACTCCAACACCCAAGGCTTTTTTTTGTAACATACCCCAAGATTTTCAGCCCCCTTGTGAAAAAGCTCAGGGGGCACCATTGGGTGTAAATAATCCAAAATATAATATGTGCAAAAACGAAAATAGGACATTCAAATGACTGGCAATATTTATTGTCTTATAACAGAAATACACATAATAATTAACATAATACTGCTTATATTAATTACAATACTGTTGCAAAGCCTAAACTAATGCAGAACCTGTAACTATACTGCCTAAACAAGTCAATACAATTAGAGGTATTACAATTGAGATAGTCATTTGTTAAGGCAAAGGTGGGAAAAGTCTTGATGGCTGGCATGGATAGGAAATTCAGATGTGTAAGACTGTAGACAAAAAAAAGTTTAATAAGAAGTTTAATAATAAGTATTCAGCAGTGTCTAAAACAGTTTAAGATTATGTACAGGTTTAGAATTGTTTGGCTTTCAGATTTTGCTTTGATACAAAGCCAAAGAAAAAAATATTTATGCAAAATTATTATTTAAATCAATTAAATTCTGTCTTTTCTGTTTTTCCAGTGGAGGAGATTGACTGAAATAAATGTGCACAGAACATCAGTCAGACACATTTTCATGTGTAAGTAAGTAGAATTCATTTCAGTTGCTGAAATCTCATTTGAAATGTCAATAAGACACAAATAATGACATTGCAATAGGCATGATTAACTCAGTGCATTTGAACTACTGTTATTATTAGGCATACACAGTATGATGCTGGGCTTGTTTTTCTCAATGCTCTTCCCACCATCATTTGCAGCAGGCAGCAGACTGTGTGCTGCAGCATCCCCCTGTGGCTGAACCTGGACTTTGTTTCTCCAGCTGAGCCACCAGCTCGAAAGGATCCACAACACCTGTCTGTATGAACAGTTCAACATGGTAGAAAGCGTTAGGGAGTTTACAACCTACTTCTAGTATTACATAATAACTGTTTTTTTAACAAACAAAACTGTAAGGAATGTAGCAAAGTCTGAAAAGTGAATTCTCACTTTCTCTCATTTTCTAGCAGTAAACACCAATTCATTCTGTATCATAGCGGAACAAAAAGCTTTTGTAAACTGAGCTTTGAAATGCATGTTCACCCCTGGTGTAGGGCTCAGTGTCTCTTTCATCAGACGCTAGTTGTTAATTAAATCAGACTTTCACAGTAGCTGTACTATCAAGAACAACACCACAGGCTTTTTATTACTATTATCACCAGCTAGCAGTGTTGATTAGAGTATCTCGAACCTGATTTCACTTCAGAGGAGCAGTCCAAAGGTTAAACCAAGGGACACATTTTGATAAATCACTGAGATTTTCAATTTACTTCTTTGCTGCTCTAAAACAGAATGGAAATCCCTCAATAACAGAATACACTGTGTAAAATGAGCGATGAAAGGATTAGGGTAGTTATTGAAAAATAGTGGTGTTTGTAGATATGTGTGTGTGAGCACAGAATGACCATGAGAGCTGATAAGATGGTATTCCATTAGCTGAGAAGAGAACATTCCTTCCTGTTCAAGGTTCCCCAGCATGACTCCACAGTCTGGTTATGACTCCAAGACAGCTGCTTGACCTTGTGCGTGTGAATGTGTGCGTATGTATGTTTGAGTGGGTATGCAAGTGTGTGTGTGTGTAAGAACTTGCAGCATGCGTCCTGGTGCACACATGCATGTGCGACTGTGCACACAGTTAGACAGTGGGGCTCTCTGGGTGTGTCACACGCTTGAAAATTATACCGCAAACATACTAACCTCTTGTGCTCAACGACAAATCAGACAAAGACTTTGACACATCCAGGAATTTAGTTGACACTGACCTTAGGTTTGACTCCACAGGGCTCACAGGGGGCTCCCGGTGGCTGGAAAGTGAAGTCCTCCGTAAATCTGGAATGGGTCAGGACGGTGGCCACCTCCCCATCAACTTCCACCACGTCACCGGCCTGTGAAATACACACACATTTGACATCATTTGCATACACAGTGCATGAGCAGGGGACTTTTACCTTGTTCTTGTACTGTGGGGCTCTGCAGACCTTGAACAAGTACTGACAATCAAACTGGAAGCTGTCCTCCGCTCCTGTAATGTCCCCATTATATATGACCTGACAGGCCTTGGTGTTGCCTTTAGGGACCTTGAAGAGGCGGTATGTAGCAGAGACAAACTTGAAGTCACCTGTAGTGCCAGACCAGGTATGAATTAATAAATGCATGAGAGTCAACCTGAAATACAATAATCCATAATGTCTTGTGTGATGTATTCATTTAACATTGACTCTGAAGTTGCACCAACACAATTAGCCATTAGTGATAACAGTTTAGTAGAACCCAGTTGAATGTATGTTAAACATTAACTAGAGCTGTACAACACAAATTAAATCCATTCCTAGCTTTGTATGATGAAAACCTAAATCTGTCCATCTAAACCAAGACAGATATACCAAAAACACTAACACAGTCTTATTATTTACATCTCTCACACTGAGAGTAATTATTAATTTTAAAATAATTTATATTAAAATGGCAAATTGCATCTGGTGCTGACGTACAAAGCTGTGGGCTTCAGGTACATTTCTAAAACCAAATGAATAAATAAACTCAGTTTGACTATTCATCGACACACATTTAGTAATTTCAAGTTAAATACAAAACAGTTTGCTCTTGGATATTAACTGCCAGCGTTGTCCCGTGTCTTTATTACTACATAGTGGATCTCTTATACCGTGAGCATAAAAACTCTTTTAAAAAAACCTGTGGGCCTTGGGTGACCAGACAACATTGTCATGAATATTAATTTTAATACTAATGGTTCCATAGGACCAATGTAAAGAGCAGTGCAGTACTCAGTTAACACCTGCACAAAGCTTAACGGCCCTACACAACCATGGTCCATCCACACAGGTGTTTTCACTTATTAATGAGACCTCTGTGTGTGTGTGTGTGTGTGTGTGTGTGTGTATAAACTGTGCTTGACAGACATCTCCCTCACTTTTCCTGTTAGCTTTACTTTAGCTGTCAGGGCGGTACAACAATCATTCTCTTTGGTTTAAAATGAAGCAAGCAAACAAGGCAATGCACACACACACAGATTAGTAACAAAAATAGTATCAAACCCAGAACATCCTGCAGTTCTTTGTTGTTGACAGTGATGACACTGGCTGTAACCAGCCGTGGTCGGCTGAAGCCCACTTCTTCAGCCAATTGCAACAGATCTTTCCACCAGAGTGCTCCACCAAGACATTCACCTGCCAAGATAAACTACATTATCATATTCTGCCACATGTCTGAGATCTTTTATGGCAGTAGGATATGAGTTTTGACGCACCCCACAGGACTGTGTGATTTTTAATTTCCTCTGTTAGTCTTCCACTGCTGTAGACGTCACTGAAGTACAGCTCACCACCATCCTAAAGATCAACAGTGAATGTCAATGCAAATACTGAGACTAATAATGTTTTTTCCTTTTGTCCAACCATTCTTGTCATGTTTTGTGAGATTTAATTAGAAGGGGAGACAAAAGCTCACGTTAAAAGTAGTTTACCTTGAGGACACTGTAAGCTTCGGCCAGTACTCGCTTCTTGTCTGGAGATAGATTTACCACACAGTTGGAACTATGGCAGAAAATCTACATTTCAACACAACTGTTATAGAATTACACAGCATTCAAAGAGAGAGACAAAGAAGGCTTCTCACATTATGATGTCAAATGAGTTCTTTTCCAAACCCGCATCTGTTAGGGCCTCAATGTAGCCCTGGACAAAACTGACATTGGTCTTCTTGTAGCCAAACTCTTTCATGTGATAGTCCACATATGTCCTGGCCACTTCAAGCTTGAAGAGAACACAGACGTGTATGAAGTCTCTCCAGTGGGTGCACATTGCATTTGAGTCTTAAGCACTACATACATATGTATAAGCTGTTGTTTACAACACAGTGACAGCCTTTACAAATGTTTACTTTTCTGCATACATCATTGACAGTTCACTGTGCACTGTAGCCACACGTGATGCTGACGTACACTACCTGGTCCTCAGTCATATCAATGCCAGTGACATGGCCCTTCTCGCCCACCAGCTGACTCAGCATGTAGCAGTCTCTCCCACTTCCGCTGCCCAAGTCCAGTATCCTGCAGCCCTCCAAGCACTCTGGCACCACCAGACCACAGCCATAGTACCTGAGGGAGGGGGACACCCATCTGTCAGTGGATCAGTGTGAATACATCTGGAGCAACAACACACAGTCTAACAACAGCCCAGTGACCTGTCGGTGACTTCAGGGTGCACTTTCTTCAGAGCCTGGCGGATGAAGGCAGGGATGGGCTGTGTTGGAGCCACACAGGCGTTGGTCCTCAGGTCTGAGGATTTCTTCAGCACCTTGCCATAATAGTCCTGTTTGAGCACATAAGCTGGCTATAGTTCATCATCATACAGCAGGTTGTTATCAGATAGGACATGGCAGGCAGGTAAACGGTGACTGTCGACCTACTAAAACTATAAAGACTTTGATCTGTGGAGCTCATTTAGCTAATTAACGCTATTGAGCTAGGCTGGCGACCATTGTCACATACAGCACCTTGGTGATGCATACATTACCTTGACATCCAGGTGAATGGCGCTATCAACGAAGCCTTTTGCAGACGCACTTGAAAAATAAGTTCAAACGTCCACTTCAGTTTACATGTTATCGTTAGCTAACTGCTAACTAACGTTAAGACAGCTGGTTAGATAACTACAGCAAATACAAACTCATAGTGCACAAGTTTACATTATTATTTAGTACGTTACATTACGTATTAGGTCATATTACTATGTAATATTACGTAAGCACGTAATACTACGTTAGGTAAAGTTAAACCATCTCACTTTATGTGTGAAGGTTCAAATCTGACACCACTCGCTTCATTTATAATGTTAACGTTACATGAAGAAGAGACGAGATACGAGACATGTTTCTAGGTTGTTCTTACCTCTTGTCTTGAGCCATTGTGTCGACTTCTAACCCACAGTGTCCAGTGTGTGTCGAGGAAAGCTTTCAGTCAGTAGTGGTTTGACCAAAATGAACATTGGTGTGTGTACAGTGAACTTCCGCCTCAACAGCGCACCCTGTCCCTCACTGCCCGAAACTACAGCTCAACCCTGACAGTCAATGAAGTCCAAACAATATCTTATATAATACATGTCTAAATAAAAACATACATATATTTTACTCCCTTTTAGTCTAAATCTTGAGAATGGCAAGTATAGTTTTTCCACGCAAAAGAGAAACTTCACTCAGTCTTGACAACAAAAGAGTCAGCTTGAATTTAAAAGGGCATGTTTATTGAAGATACATCCATCTTAGTTGTAATAAATGGCTTATGATCAGAACATTCAAAGAATATGTGCAAATCCACCTTACACACCACTGGTGAAGAAAGAAAACGTGTCTTTGGTGAGAGTTCTTGTTAACAAGTAATTTACTGTATTGTTAGTCAAACGTACCCTTCACATACCGTCAGGATAAGTCTCAAAAGAAAAAATAATACCCATAACGAGAATAAAATCTGTCCATAACAATAAAGCTAATGATTTTATAAAAATTATGAAAGCAACTATTTGGTTCACAAACCTGTTACAGAATATTATACATCGCAAATATAAAGTGGTTCTGAAATTGTATACAGTTCCAATAGTTTTTTGTTGTTTTTTAAGGATTCAGCTGATATGAAAAATAGCTCATCTTGGTACTACATGTACCAAAATTACATAATAATATTACGGTACTTTCTAGCTCACAAAAAACATTAACATATAAAGCACTTTAGAGGCATTGATGAGTAAAATTCAGTCATCTTACCGTTAATACAGAAAATCCCCATTACAATTGTGCTACACATTTTGGGAGACATCTTCTGTTGGATTTTAGAGGGCGTATATTAATCTGGAGACCAAAGGCTGAGACATTTGTGCTTTTCAGACGTTGCAATGTGTGCATTTTACAGGGTGCTCAAAGTTCAGTCTGAAAAAAATATGACACAATGGCATGTAGTGTAACTAGTTCCAGTTCATTTTAGAGTGGGCAAACTACAATTTTACTTTACTCTATTTGTAAAGGTTTCCCACAGCGTGTTCATTATGTTTTACTTAAAATTACAGGCTGCAACTGGTAATGACAAATTGTCTGTTAAATACTACTGTTACAAATCATTTGTGTGTAAACTCTGGCTGTTTGCTCCACAAGCATGGCTGTTATGGGATTAATTACCTTCATATTAAGTTGAGTAAGGGATGAATACTCAATAGACATAGACTAAACAATACTTTATGGTTGCTGTTTTGTTTCTAGAAGGAGTATTTCCTCTCTCAGATTGAATAGCACAAAAACAGCAGATTGGCAGGGTCACCCACTGGGAATCATTAGTTAACAAGCCATATTATGGTGAAAATCACACTGGTCTAGTTGACTGAAATCAGCCTTAATTGGCCCTTTAAGGAAGCTATTATAAACGTTTAATTAATGAATACCACAAAAAAAATCAAGGTAAGATTGTGCTGATATGAAAAGCCAATACAAAGAGTGTAAATGTTTCTGTTTTTGTACTGTACAGCTGGTGAAGTTGGTGATTTATTGAAGTGTCTGACACAGAAGTTTGAGGTCTGACGTTGCCCATCTCCGCTGTTTTTGGTACCTACTTTCTCATGGTCTCATGGTCAGCTTCACTGAAGCTTATTATTGTTCATCAAAATGCTTTTTTGGGGGGTAGGCACATACTACAAACATTCATTAAAATAATAATTAATGATTGTTTACGAAGTGAATCTGTTGCATTCAGAGGTCCATTTCTTACACAAGTTGCAACAAAACCCTAAGACACTAATCATCTACTGCAATTTAAGACTGAATTAATGAAAGTAAGCATTTTGTGTTTTGATTTGTTTAAGCTAAAAGCTTCATTTATAAAGATAAATACATTTTGTGCAAAATAGGAACTGCTCACATGAAGATTTGTTAATGCACTTACACTTCTCTACCACTTGCGGGGCAGATAGAAAACAACAAAAACGGACAAAAGGCAGAACGGTTTTTAATTGCTGAAGAAGCACTTTAGAAGCGCAAGTCTAACAGGACATCCCACACAGTCTTGTTCTAGTGTCCCTGTACAGTATCACTTTGCATAAGCACACACTGTGGCAACTACACATTGCACTCATGCAAAATGATCCTGATGTGTGTTTTCTTTTTTTCACTACGTGGTTTCCTGCCTGCAGAGAACGGCTTTGCAGAACTGTTGCAAGCACCTGGTGAGGAGAGCTGTGTTCGTCCTGGGCACTGACTGCCCTGTCCTGACATCACAGCTTCAGCTATCAAGTCATTAACTGTGTATCAGTAGCTTCCCACTGCAAGAGAAGGACGACTGAAGGGCTGTGTGTGTGCAGTGTGTGTGTGTGTGTGCAGTGTAAGAATACTCAATTGCCACAGGTTGTTAAAAGAGCATGTACTGCCCAAATAAAACCCCAAATACACAGGTTAAGGCCACTATTCCAGTGTGGGGAGGAGCAAGCTCAATCTTTGGATCTCAATCAGTTTTAGTTAAGATACCACTTCCTGCTCCTACACCTGTTTATCTAAGATGCAGACATTCACAGAAATACTCACATAGAAAGTATTTAGACATAAAACACTTGCTCAGATACAACAGCATATGCCTCCATGCTCTGTGTCAAGTGCTCTCTCCTTCCCTCTATGACACAAAGGTGTGTTAACTTTCAGCCTTGTGGTTCAGTGCTGGTGCTGTGGTGCGGCCCCTCCTGCTCATTAATGGTGTGGAGGAGGAGGCACACCGGAGGGTGGAGCAAGGCGCTGCCTATCTGGTGAGCCGGCTGAGGAGGTCCTGACGGCCCACGTGCGACCCGCCTCTCCAGCCCGCCCAGTGCCTGCTCTGCTTCCCTGAAAACTCCCACGCTGAAGGAAGGGCCTCGATGACCGCAGCCTGTCACAGAATCGCCCCTGCCTCCTCTTCCTCCTCCTCCTCCTCCTCGTCATCTCCCTCGGGCCTCAGCAGGCTCTCCAGCTCCCTCAACTCCATGCCTTCCTGGCCTGTCCCTCCAGCTCCACTAAAACCACTGCTCCCACGTGTGCCGCACACACACACCTCAATCCCAGAGTCCCCTGTGAACCGTCTCCTCCTTCCATTGGGGAGTCGATCTTTGTCCTCAGCGCAGCCCTCCGACAGGTCCTTCAGTCCTGACAGGTCCTTGCAGGAGTCATCCGCGCTCCCACTTCTTTTCTCCTGGCTGGTAAGTCCCTCCCTGTTGAGCCCATCTGACAGCAGTATCACACCAGAATCTTGTGATGTCTGCATGGGCTTGTTGTCAGGCTTTGGCCTAAAGTCTAAGGTGGGGGGTTGTGGTTCCTCTATGCTGGGTCTGCAACACAGACTGTCAGAGACCGGGGGCACTGGAGTGGGCTGGATGGTTGGACAGTGTCCCTCCTGCTGCTCAGGAGCCAGTGGACTAGAAGCCACTGAGGATGGGCCTGTGTGTAAGGCACTGTAGGGAGGGGGAGGAGTCGGCGGCCTGTTGACCACCTCTTCATAGTCAGGCAGGAGGTAGTTTGGCAGAAACCCTGAATAGAATAAAAAAAAAAAAAAAAGATTTCAGTAGAATCAAGCGCAAATTTGCATATGCACTGAAGAAAACAACACAATACACGTTGCAAGGTAAGCAACACTTACTGTATATGGGTTTGTTTTTCCTTTAAATGACCCCTAAAAATTTCACCTCACTGAACTTCCCATACCACTATTCAAGCATTCCCAAAGCAATGGGGGGAAAAAATGTGACAAAACAAGCAAATTTCTGGGTCAATTCTGTGCTGAGGGCCGTTGCAGCACTGAGCGAGATAGTGTTGCAACACTGGCGAGGTACCAAGAGAGCAATGCTGGCCGTTTCCTGAAAACTGGGGCATGCAAACAGGGAAGGTTCTGACGCAGTGTGAAACCAGGGATATATCTCAGTGCAAACACTACATTTGAGCCAGGCACCACTGCTTTGCTTGTCACTAGTTTGAAATTCCTAGGTTTGATGTAACTGGACTCTAACAACTACAACTACAACAGACCTGACAGAGGTATAGGTCATATACTGTGGTCGGCCTAGTAACGCGGTCAAGAAACATGTTGTGTCTTAATGGAAAACACTGACAGCTCTTCCAGGCTAAGTTTTGGTGGGAGACAGGTAAAGGACCTCCTTCTGGGGGTTCACTATGTATTTACTAATCCAAGATACTTAATATGCATCATTTATATACCCTATTAAAAAACACTTTTGTATTCATCAACATGGATTTAAACCTGATATTGTGACCAGCAGACTACATTTACTCACTGCAGCTGATTTGACACTGATAGGAAACATGAAAAAATAATAATGTAACATTTTATTACAAATGTATTTTCAGTATATAAAATGAACTTGTTGTTGAATTACAAAGCTAACACTGTTTAGTGTAAATGGAGCAGTCACTGAGCAGTATTGATTGGTACTGGCTCATGTATTTGATGAAACAACAGCGCCACCAAGCTGTAAAAACTAAATGATATTATCACCTAATAAAGTTGTTGCAGCAAACAGTTGTCTCTCTACACATTCAGCAGACACGGAACAACATTAGCGTTCATCTGGAGTCGTGTTTCTGCTTCTTCTACTTTTAGCTCTGTTTTGTTCTCCACACACTCCTGAGGAAAATAAGTGGCTCTTTAGCAGTTAAATGCACCACTATGTTTACTATCTAGTTGTTGACTGCGTCTATCTGCTGTTTGGTAATGGGCAGGTAGTGTACAGTGGGTTTATCAGAACTTTCTTTCTTGTTGCAGCTGGAAACAAACGAAAACCAGAGCGGTGACACTGAACTAAACAGTAAAGCTGTGGGCTGGAAAACCAAAACAGTGAGCTGAAAGACGTCAGCACAGCAGAACTGCAGAGTCGGGTGCTAATTCTCTGTGGGTGTGTCATTACAAACAAGTATCACAGTATATATAGTCATTGGGTCCATTGTTAGCATGAAAATGTTACTCATACCCGTTTGTTGTCATCAATCATCAATAGAATTCATATCAATATGTGAAATGCAGACGCACACATCGAGGTTTATCACTGTGTTGTGTACGGTCGAGAGGGAGCTCTTACTGAAGTAGAAGGGCACAGAGGGGTAGTTGTGTGCTTCGCGGTAAGCGATGAGGTTGATCTCGTGCTGCCGTTGTTGCTGCTGCAGTCGGTGTTTGGTGCGACGGTGGTGACACACACAGCAGCAGCTCAAAATGAAGATGATCGCCCAAACCAACCAAAACCCTAAAGTGAGAGGAAGATCAGCACTGTCATGTTATGTTTACAGTAAATGTGACTGTTTGCTCAATATCCTAAAATAAACTCACAAGGTGATAAATGGGAATGGCTGTGCTCTACAATATCCATAATGTGTAACTGTTCAGGCCTGTGGTGATGCGACAGCGCTTGCTGCTAACACAAACCTAACACTGCAGATCAAACACTGCCAACATCTGGTTCTAACACACAGAAACATTCACACGCTTACATACTGTATATACTGTAAGTGTTGCCTTAGGAATTTTATGGCACAAGCAATTCCTATGCCTGTGCCTTTGTTCAATTATTGAGAGGTCAAGTCCGTTCTTATCTCTACAGCAAAGCAAGGAGGGACTTAAAGTTTTTCCCAGTTCTTTCTCTATGGAGCAACCTCATATTTGACACCACAGCTGTATCACATGCTGAACTCTGACTCCTCCGGTTTCTCACTTTGGGAGGTCTAACCTTGCAGGATAATAAATGGCCAAAAATGATTTATTTGTAGATTTGCAGAGATTGTTTAAGAACAATCTGTGCTTTTTCAATATTCCATGAAGTCCTAATTCTCCACAAAGGAATTATCTGTGTAACTGCACTATCTACAATCCAGTCTTAACAGCAGCAGGGAACAAAAACTGAGTGAGGCTTCAAAACAGCCCCAGTTTGTGTTAAATGTGTTTTTCAAAGAAGTGGGACGCCCCTACGTTGACACATACAAATGTGGGAACTTCACTTCAAGGACTGCAGGGCAAGGCAGCCTGTGTCTCCAGAAAATAAGAATGTAAACAGTAAAATATGGCAGTCAGTACAGTGCTCCCCTGCTGGTGCTGTGCAGTCATCAAGCTGTAGCAATTAATAATGTCTTTCATGCCTCATTACCAACCCTTTTTCACCTCAAGATGCTTACATACATGAATGACTGAACATGGATTGTCATGTAAAATAGGCCTTCTTCTGTTCAACCCACTTAATAATTTTAGTTGGTTATTGAATCGTTCAGTGACCACATGGCTGCCCTTCTCCCGCTGACTTTCTCCCACTGTACAAATTCTAAAAAAGCTGGGTTATATTCAAACCAGAAGTTTTAAAGAAGGCAGCAGTCCTGTGCTCTCATCAGGTCATCAATAAATAGTTAAATGCTGTAATATTTATCTGTTGGTCAGGGTTTGCACTTCGGGTCGGCTTATTGCAGATATGTTATATCTGTGATATTTTGGTCGATAAGTAACAAGAGTGCCAAATGCCAAACTACTACAGTGTTACCATTACAGTCTCCTAATATCAATATCAGAATAGATCTGCAATAAGCGAATATCGGTGGTAACTAATGACATAAACACATTGTTTGAGCAACAGGAATTTATGATATGTCCTTTTTTTCAGTTCCTGCATTAAACCATCACAAGTTATGAATTTCAGTCACTACTCTCCTTACAACACAGCCAAATATTTAGAGGCAATTTCTGCCTCTGGAATTATAATGTTCATTTCAGATGCTCACGGTGTGATATGAACATGACACAGAACTCACAGTTTGTGGACAATCTGTGTGTTGGAGATGAAGTGATGGCGGACACTTAGGATATGCTGGAGAAGCATAGGGTGGGTTTGATCATGCCAGCATTCATATGCTCAGAATGCCAGCTCACCAATGAGGAGGTCACACATTGCTCGCCCCCGCAATCAAGTCGAACGAATAAGACGCCTGAAAGTGCACAAGGCTTCTCAAGCAATGCCAATTAGCTTGGTCCCAAAAATGAATGAAGTACGGAAGATTTGTGCTGATTCAGTGAATTTAAGAGGTGAACGCATCTCAAGTGAAAAGACATTTAATATTGCACTTCAAAACACACGTTCTTACGGTACATCACATGTTGGAAAATGGGAATGAGGTACAGCTCAGTCATAACATGCATATATTTACAGTTCAATAAACATGTCTCCCTCCACTCACAAATGTGTTTCACTTATTGTAACTTCACTGCGATGTTTGAGCTTCACAGTGCAGACTGTGAGAGTAGAAGGCTGTTTTTACATTTATCTGCTGAATGTGAGAAAGTTTCTCTGTTCTAACATGTCTGGAAGGGATCTTTAACATTTTCAAAAATTGGAATGAGACACAACTATACATAACATTCAACAAATAAAGAGCTGTATGTAGTTTTACTGCAGGCATGTATATTTTTTTTAAGGTGAAAAAAGCCTGACCATTGTAAACCACTGTTGACTGTAACTGGGACCATTAAAACCCTGCCAAATCAATGTGGTCGACATGCACTCTAGAATATAACCAACATTTCTTGCAAAAGCTTTATTTTTAACTAAAGCTTAAAAGGAAATAGGTCTGGGACAGAGCTTCATCCTCCTTGCAACACGTGTACATCTATGTAGTCTTTGTCAAATAAAAAGCCCATTTTCAGGTGCTCAGCTGATGTCCATTGTCCAGATGAGCAGCTTGCAGCCCCGCAGCCCCAGACACATCACTGTCAGCTGGATCTGAAAAAGGAGATGTAAGATGACATGGTTTACATTTGGTTTAAACTGAGGTTCACAAAAGTCTGGCACATTTGTTCAAACACTGCCAATTTATGGGTCAACGTGTTTTTCACCCACCTGGAGGTAGTACCCACTCTGCCCGTTGGAAAATGTGACATACTGCCCATCACTCAAGCGTCTGATATCACCATCTGGCTGCCCAAGAAACTCTTCAAGTTGCATAGCACTCTTGAAGGGACACTTGATCCCTTAAATCCCTTAAAGTGCAAGTGTTCATTCAGATTTTTTTGTGGGTTAGCAGTCCTCCGTTTGGGGATCCTCTTTGCTGTGCTGGCACTCTCAGCTTGTGACACACTTGACTTGATGCACCTGGTCTCGTCAGTCAACCTGGACAGGACTTAGTTTAATACAGGTCTCATAAAAAGTTGTCGTTATAGGTTCAGAGCTGTAACGTGTTCTGTATGGAGTATCGTACCATCTGTTGCCAGATGAAATAGTGGGGCCACGGCAAAGGAACAGGTGTAGGTTTCAGATTCGACGCGTTCCTTGAAACGTTTTAGGGAGCTTACACGATCTGACGTTGACTATAAACGGGATCTGGTTTATGATTTATGAAATGTTATGCTGCATGTCTTCAGCTTCCTTGTGCCTGCATTCCTCTGCACATCAGCACATGACATCTCTGTCTGACTCAGTCATAAAGTTACACTCAGCAGTTCTCTGTACTATGCAGTAATGACGACTGCGAGCACTGGAAACAAACTGGAAATAGGTAATCAGAAGAGAGACATTGATATTGAAACCAAAATCCATGCACGGTGATGAGGGACTGTGTCTGCTGTGACCCACCTCCTTCAAGAAAATGTGCCTGACTTTATGATTAAGTACTGATAAGCCTCAGGGTTTTTTCCGATTGTTCATCATTTTGCTGTCCGTGGCAACAGAATGAGTTAAGTAGCTAAATATGCTACTGTACTTTATCCAAGGCCACTTCTTCAAGTCGTCCTCCCATCCCTCAACAGTAAATAGCAGAGGTATGATGACAATATCCGTCTAAGATGTGACAAGTGGTTGCCCCAAGTCATTTATTTTCAAAAGCGTCTGGGGAAAATGGAACAAACAGGATACTTACACCAGAGCTCATAGTAGTAGCTGCAGCACTGCGACTCGCCGCAGCAGTGTCCGGACTCACAGATGTAGCTCTGGTTGTTAACACCTTCACAGTGCAGTAGGCTCTGCAAGAGAGAAGCAGGGTCACTTTAAAAGGAATGTATTATCAACATCTCAACTTTCAAAAAAAACATAAAACACCATCCCGAGGCGTCCGGTTACAGGGTGCAGTGCCAATAAAAGAAATAACGCAGCCACACCCCCGCCGTGCTTCGTGTTTTATTTTTTGACTCACACAGGGTGAAGTTACATTTGTTCTGTGTTTTACACTGATGAGCAGAAACTGTTTTTTTGTTTTTTGCCAAAGTACAGCTACATAACAAGTTAAAGTGAAATCACAAGTGTGTAATAAAAGAGTGAAACGTAATTTTAGGTTAAATACAGCACATTACCATGTTACTTTCAGCCACAGTGTTCACTGAGCTGGGTAATGATAAGAAATGAAATGGTTAATGAAGGACATCCTGTTCAAGAGCTGCTGTCACTGTAGCAGAGCGCCATAAGCACTGTGAGCGAGTTCACCTGTCCTGCCCATCACAATTATGCACATTTGCAATTTGTCTTATTGTTACTTAATCCTTTTAGCTGTCTTTTTTTAACTGAAACATTTCATTTGACTTTAAGCGGTTTCACTTATTTACCTGGAGGAATGTACTCGTCTCTTTTTAAATCTAAATGTTTCACTCTAGCTTCATTTATTGCATTCCAAACAAGATAAAAACATGCAACTACTAAAAACCCTCGCAGCTCCTTACAACCCACACACAACCCAAGACACACAAGTGGCTCAAGCTCATTTTCATTTCACTTTCATGAACTGCTGCTACCTCTTGTTAAGACGATTCCTACAACTGATGGTAGAGTCAGGAGTCATTTCTGAAGTGTCCCCTCTTTTGCTTACATTTTGTCATAGTGTAAACAGCCCAGGTGTTACTAATAACATTAATGATGGCTCCGTTCTAGCCAAGTGTCCCAGTAAGCCATAACAGTGCATCAGCGAGCCAGCAAGCACAATACTGTGACCCTGAAACTGAAGCAGCTAAATGGAATTCAGCCATCATTCATTTGCTGAATGTCACATGTCAAACTGTCTTCTATGAAAAGGGCGTATTTCTGATTTAAATGGTTCTGGAGCTAGTTCATCATGTACTTTTTATTAAGTTCACTGAAAGGTGCACTGTGTCCCAATAAGTAAATGTTTCATAACAGGTTTGAATTAGCATAGTGTGTAGTGTGTTAACACTGGAAAAACAAAAACATAAACTTCTTATACAAAGTATAAGAAGTTAGGATGCATACATGTTTTGAGTGCATGTACACACACACTATCCCACAATGCATTGCACACAGAAAATTGAGGTGATAATGAAAGGTGCAAACATTTTTAAGATTTAAGTGAAAAAAAAAAAAAAACTTTCTCTCTGTGAAGTTTCATTTCTTTAAGTCATGTTTGGTGTCTGATAGCAGTTAGCATATCATATAGAATTGGGACACGGCTTTCTTTTTTACATGCATAGCCTTGCTCTTTGATTTAGAATAGTAATGATAACACCGCAGATATCTGGTAGCTAACATTTATACTTAGCTATGAATCTGGGGTAAACAAGTCCTAACCACTTGTGCTGGTAAGCTGCTAGAATTTCATCAGTGTTTAAGGCCAATATCAAGTGCACATTTTTGAATCACAGCCAGCACAAAAGCACTCACTATGTTGCCCAAGATGTAATACACTATTTCTACTTAAAAGTGTCGCCAAGGCCTAATCAGAACTTGGAAAATGCCAAAAGGTGTTTGACACAACAGTCCACTTTCGTCCAAAATCAATAAGGCAGTTGTCTGCACTCCAACAGCCTGTTACATGTTTCGACTGTCAAGATAGCAAAATAACAGCCTGTCTGATCAAAAGTTAACCCGACTCAGCATATCCATCACTCACATGAAAAGTTAAGTTGTCAAAGGACACAGGCGACCATAATCAGATCAGATAGATCTGCACAGTGCTAAAAGACAAGGGAGCACTGTAATCAAAATCCTCTCGTGTGAGAAAGGTCTATGGATTTTTCCAGGAGCGAGCCCTCAGCTGTTTTCTTCTAGATTAGCTTAATTATTAGCTAGCCAAAGTTCTATGTAAGGATAGTTTTTCTCTCGACAGATTACCAGTGCAGGTCCCAGATTGCGAGGCATGATGATCCAGGGTCCAAAAATCCCAGACAAGTCCCTCCACCTCATCGGTCATTATCCCACAGAAGAAAAAAGCCAGCTCTCAAACATACTCTCACTCTCTCTCCCCATCTCCCTCTCTCTTTCTACACACACACACACACACACACACACACACACACACACACACTCCAATTCAGGCCCAAACAGTGGACAAGGATTGCTCTACGGAAATTTCCAAGCAGCAGCGGAGAGCGAGCTCTTAGCTGGGCCGTTGCATGATAATACGGCATACAGAGTGGTGAGAGGCGTGTGTGTGTGTGTGTGTGTAAAGTGTGAGGCAGGGAGAGAACGGCAAGAAAAAGCCCTGAGAAAGCCAGACACAGAGCAGTAACACAGGAATGATTGGTCACACATGACACACCAGATCAGCACGAACCAGACTGCTGACATTGAATGTGGCCACGGCTTCCAACCTGAGAATTAATCTCTACAGCGGTCTACACTTATCAACATGACATTTATTTTCGCATAAGGAAGCATTCTCTGTGTAATAAACACATGATGTTCTGTTCCCCCACTTTGCCTCTGATAGCTGTTTTCGCCGACTTACTAACTACTCCCCGCCATATGCTTTCCGCTTGGCGTGCTGAGCGCCGATAACCATCTAGTTTGTTTGGGTCTTCAGCCTGTGCTGCGTAAAGATAGCCGAGTAATGAAGGGGGCTCGGGATTTTGTAAACAGGCCTTCATAAAGAAAAAAAAAAGTTCTCCGTGCATGCGACTGCACAAAAGAAAACTTGTGTGGCGAGGGTGACGTGAGGTGATAGGCTGTCAGTCAAACAGCTGCACCTGAAAAACATCTAGGTCAACCGATGCCTGACTAAGTTATTTTATTACTAATCCTGCGAGACAGTCAGCGACTCAGCAAAGAATCTGGACAGGCTAGTTTTGTCTCCCGTCCAAAGAGGCGACACTGAAACAATCCACCTCTCTCATGCTATACTAGCTGATTAAAAAGGCGGATTTGGTTACCGTCCAAGAAATCATTTCTGCGTTCGAAAATAATCAACCGTAATAATGAGGAGCTGTTGAAAAGAGCAGACAATGAGAACAGCTCAGAAATCCCCAGTGACTATCGAATACTGTTCCTGAAGATAAGTGGCTTCAGTTCTTAGGTAATTCTTGACTGCAGTCAGTGTTGATCCACTTAGCACAAGCCTGTAGGCCTTGGCAAGTTGGCTGATACACGTAAAAAGACCTCGCTGACCCCTTATTTATTATTCTGTCCTGAAACAAAGAAAGGTGCTCTTTCATACTCATCAAGGTTATGTAGAACAAAACACCGCTGAAGCATTTCTAGCAGCCATTAATACCAGACATTCCCCCAAAGAACATGTTCCAAATGTCAGGTCACTGAAGTTTTGATTTTATCAGAAAGTTAGAGTTTGCCAGCACTCTTACAGACAACATTTAGATCAGTTCCAGCCATTACTATGAAATGACTCCAACAGCTTTGACACTGAACTGTTGGGAGTTAAAGCAGAGCATTCATGATAGACTTCACAAGCTGAGCTGTACCTGGCAGGAGTATCATTACTTAAATAACACAACTGTATATGTTGTCTTTTTCTCATTAATGTATTATGAACATTGAAAAGCATGTTGCCATGATTCTGGGAGACTTTTTTACTTTTTAGAACTCTTTTCACTGAGGAGCACTGTATAAAGCACAGATGTGAACATGACATTTCAAAATGTCTGGGGACCACCACTGTGACAAAAACCGTATTAATGCATTTAAGGTTTGTGTGTGTGTGTGTGTGTGTGTGTGTGTGTGTCATGAAGGGTGACAAGGGTCCCTGGCTTATAGGCTAGCTTTATTTTACCTCATGTGACCGTAGTATTTAACTCAGCTCAACAACCTCTTAGTCAAAGTATTAGGGGAAAAGACAAACCATTAAGCATGTGCCTTTATAGTCTTTTGTTTCTTAGAGCTGCTGTA